TTTAGGGAGAGTGAGAAAACCAAGCTGTTGATCGCAGCTCAGAAGCAGAAGGTGGTAGAGAAGGAGGCTGAGACAGAGCGGAAAAAGGCTCTCATTGGTTCGTGTGCAATTCTTGCTTCCATATGTGAATGCTTAGAGACAATGGGAGGTTGTGCAGAACATAAGTAGTGATGTATTCAATCCTTTTCCCAGGGCAATGGCAGGTTTTGAGGATTCAAGGGCTGACATGAAGCAGGGATCCACAATAGACAAGGATCCCTGCTTATCCGACGGAATATCGGACAACAGGTTATCCAACGGAATATCGCATAACGAATTTGGATTCTGATTTCATTGACGAGACCTGATGGATTTGTTATATTGATGTAGTGATGTATTGATATTGATGTTTAATGATTTGTGATGCTATTGCTTTTAAATGCTTAATGATTTTGTATTGTGTATACCTAAATTGTTGTAAACCGCTCTGAGTCGCCTAAGGGCTGAAGAGCGGTATACAAATAAAGTAAATAATAAATAAATAAATAAATAAATAATAGAGCTATGTGGGCTGCACATAATTTACATTGGAAGAATATTATATTTTTAATGTGTGATCCTCTTCCTCATCCAACGCATCATGTATCTTATCCAATTGAATCTTTCAGGACAGAATTTTTCACACTAGTTGTGAGATAATGACAGTTGTTAAATGATAAGTAAGAACTTGCTATAAACTAATCACAACAGAAAAAGCATCAGCCATGGTCTGGAGGAATGCATCTGGCATAACCTTAAATGCAAATCCTCACTTGTAAAGAGGAAAACAATTGAGAAGCTGTTGTAACCCTAGGGTGCATCTACACTGTATAAATAATGCAGTTTGACAACTCTTGTTTCAATGTTATGGAATCCCGAGAGATCCCATTTGCTGAAACACTAGCAATTCCATGATTCTGTAGCATTGAGCAGTTAGAGTGGTGTCAAGCTGCATTCTATCATTTAAACAATTTTACTAAAACCCTCACATTTACATTTACATTTTTAAAAAACCATTTTAACTTGTTAAACCTGTCCTTTTAACGTTTTAAATTGTTTTTGGAATTTTAAAATTATTAACACTGTTATCATTGGCTTTATTGTATGTCTTGCTGAGATCTCTGGATAGAGGGTGGGATATAAATATTTTTAAAAGCACATACCATATATAAGCTGAGGTTTCACCCCCTTTTTTAGGCTGAAAAAGCCCTCCTCAGCTTATACTTGAGTCAAAATTATTTATTATTTTACTTTTTCAATATGTCTCTGTATAGCAGGAACCTTTACTTGCATTGACCATATGTGTGGTACCCTCTGGTCTCTGTGTTTTTATTCTCTCCATGCAGAGGCAGAAAAAATTGCTCAGGTGGCTGAGATAACATATGGACAGAAGGTGATGGAAAAAGAAACGGAGAAAAGAATTTCAGAGATTGAAGGTGAATAGAAACCTATTTAATGCATTTCTACCTGTCCCGGGCTTTGAAAATAATGAATCCTTAAAAACTCACATTTGTTATATAGATAGATAGACAGACAGACAAACAGACAGACAGATAGCATCGTGGTTGGTGCTCTTTAGTTTTTACTCAGTTTGGATCCCTAGATATTGTCTGTTGTTGGTGGGGTTCAGCATGGTCTTTGATTGTAGGTGAACTATAAATCCCATTAACTACAACTCCCAAATGTCAAGATCTATTTCCTCCAAACTCCAACTGTGTTCATATTTGGGCATATGGAATATTCGTGCCAAGTTTGGTCCAGATCCATCATTGAGTCCAGAGGTCTCTCTGGATGCAGGTGAACTACAACTCCCAACTCAAAGTCACTGCCCACCAAACCCTTCTACTGTTTTCTGTTGGTTATGGGGGTTCTTTGTGGTAGTTCAGAATGCTCTTTGATTGTAGGTGAACTATAAATCCCATTAACTACAACTCCCAAATGTCAAGGTCTA